ATGTGCAGGTTTTCTCACGATGTTTTCCATCCCACTCTAGCACAGTTTTTTTGAAGCGGGCGGGGTTCAAACTCCGATTGGTCGCGTACTATAAAATTTACAGCAAGCTCTACTGTTTGGAGGTGTTAAAGTTGATTATTAAATATATTGAATAGTTTTAAGTTAGAGTCAGAGTAAACCAATTAAATTTTAAAACATGCCTCTGTAGCTATGAATATATTACACCATTTCCAATGTTGTGCAAGAAATGAAATGCGTATTACTTATAGGTACATAAAACTACTTCACATAAGCGCCTAAGCGTTGACTGGGGATTTGCATTTACTACGATGCAGACACTGGTATTAGCTTCGTTTCATCCACCCTCGTTGTTTCCGTTTCCGAGTGCACGATGGCCGTGAATTTGTCATTGAACTTATGAGCAGTAGAGTTATATATTGAGCGACTACGTACACTAACTTTCTTGATATTTGGTATATATTTATATTAATATTGGATACAGTATTTAATATTTCTAAAGCCCTATCAGACACGACACGACTGATATTTTTTTGTGTCGCTTTTGTATACTATAGATACACAGACAACTAAATTAAAATATTAGTTGGTCACAATATAAAAAAATATAAGAAATCATGTCATTTACATCTACATATTATAGTAATGATAATTTTAAACCATTAGTGTAAGTCTAAAATTTTCATACAAAATAAAGCCTTACGGAAACATTGTATTTATAGTAGGTAGCTACTATAGAACTAGACAACCAATATTTAAAATTGAATTATGGTTACAAAGGAACATGTGTTCATTAAAATTAATCAAATGCATTGTGGATACCAGGGCCTGGAATTGGGGGTCCAGTTGCAGGTGGCAAAAATCGTAATTTTTGGAACAAATTCCAGTCCTCAGCCGATATCCCGGCAATAAAACTCAATAAATTGAAGTTACGCTTTATTTCCTAATTAAATATACATAAATACTGCCTCTCTTCCCCCCGCGGTGTTGTAGCCAAGTTGGTGCGTCCAGGCAGTCATAATCATAACCCACGCTTATTATCGGCGGGCGCACTATACGGAGATCTCAAGCTATCATACATGGAAACTTTCTCAAATTTCTGAATGATGATTTTTTTTATAAAATTAGGGTGACAAACGAGCACACAGTCCACCTGATGGTAAGTGGTTGCTGTGGCCCATAGACATCTACATCTATCTTCGTTTGCGAATTAAAATGCAGATGCGTTGTCAGCCGTGAGGACTTGATAGAATGCCTCGTTTCCAGTAAAAAAGGTCTCCGGTTCTCTACACTCACCATATGAAACACAGAATCATTAAGCTGCTATTTTACGTTGGTATTCTGTGAGAGCGTGATCCTTCCCCGGTCGAGCCGACCCATTCGTGTTACAACCATACTATTAATATAGCTGCAGCATGGCTCTACCACGTAATAATGATGGTCGCAGATTTGAATTTAGACGACGGCCTAAAATAATCGTTTAATAATTTATACAAATATGAAATCGCCCCGTATAATAAAAAGTGTCGTAAAAATTGTAACACCCTATTTCACCCCCTAATGGTTTGAATTTTACAAAATCCTTTAGTGGATGTCTACGTAATAAAAAGAAAGCTATTATTTTTATTATACGCTTATATACGCTTCGACGGCCTCCTCCTCTATGGCTGTAGGTTTAAATAACAATATTTTTCATACAAACTGCACTCTCGTTTTATAATTACGATAAATTTTTGAAAAATTAAAAAAAAAACATATTATTTTATTATTTAAATAACACATTCATTTAAATAAAATTCAAATGTGGGAATAAATTGCAGATTACTTTCAATATTGCAATTATGAAACGAAGCATGATTGATAAATTGGTCTATCCTCCTTCCTTCATCCTTACAGCCCATCACAAGTCCACTGCTGAACATAGGCCTCCCCCAAGGAATGCTACAAAGCAAGGTCCCGAGCCATCTACATCTATTGACTTCCTTCATGTCTTACCAGGTCATCACACCCATCTAGTGGGTGGATCTATAGAACCTCATAAATATTTTTACGTAGGTAAATGAACTACAACTTGAATATAAATATTCGCTGCTTCCTACAGCCGGTACTTTAAAAAATATCCGGTAATTAATCCAACTCACTAGGTTAGTATTGCCATTTTGTCATGATGCACATTGTACATCTTGGTTTAAGTTTAAAAAAAAAGGTGACGAACAAAAAGCATTCTTACCCGTTCCCTTTATTTTTTCTTATAAATCATTAGCTACTACATCCAGCCATAGTTTCATAATCTGTAACCATAAGCGTATTTTGCATTGAACTCATGAACAAATGACTCAACATGGACGTGTGGTGTCGTAAGGGGAGACTATGAGATATGGTCACCCGAGGCAAGTGTGACATTAATTAAAACTATAATGGACATTAAATACCTATTTCTACTCTGTAAGGATTTAACATAGAGAATCCAGTTTCATAGCATCAATTATTAAGTGCTTGTTTGTTTGATCAAGCATTTTAGTAGAATCTACAAGTAGCATTTTGTAATTTAAGGTAATTAAACTAATTGAGGTGGAAGACTGTCACACCATCAATGAGGCAAGTGTGATAGTACGCTTTCTTTTTGTAGTTACTTTATTATTATCTGTCGTTTGCGACAAAATTGAAGAGATGATAGTAAAGTCAAAATATTTTAAGATGTATAGACGTATTGAACATCCATTTTTGTGTAACAATTAGTTTTTCCCAACATGCGGCAAGTTTTCTGAGTAGTTGTAAAAAAATGACGTCTGTCGATAAAATATATGAAACTATGTACTTACTTAACTGTCGGTATAGTCAATAGCGTAAAAATTCTTGCGTTGTTCAATAGATGGAATTTAACCAAAAAACCGTGTTTATTCCGCATAATTTGCATTTGTTACACTTGCCCCACTGTCACACTTGCCTCGAGTGACTATATCTCGGAAAGATCATTATGGTTGATAATGTATGGCAGTATAACCTTATAATTTAGTTGATGTTAATTAACCAGGCCGAAGACGAGAAGCGGTATCAAAGGTGAGCAAAGTTCTAGATATTTCTGCGACGTACGTGTGAGACCCTACTACGATCGCCTATCAGTCTGTCAAATAAGGCAAATCATTCTTACAACAGGAGATGTCCACCAAATGATTTTAAAGATTTGATGGAGAAATGACTTCGCTATTAGTCTAAAGTTGCTATAATTCGGGCATGTTAATTTCTCCAAAGAAGTTACGTCAAACTGATCATTTCAAATTAGATCTAATCCAGCATACTCAAAGCAATTCGTGTGTGACTCTTTTTGAAACGTAGGACTCATATCAATGTCCTCCGCCAAACAATCTTTCAAGCGAATCCGATAACTTAACATCGAATATTAGTTTAATTTGGTTTTGCATTATGTAAAACCGAACTTTATTATAATAAAATAAAACAGGGACAGTTTCTAATATGCATTATGATCATAACTTCTGATTATAATGGTTCTAACGTAGTAACTGTAATACGATTGGGGTCGTACATAGGCCCCTATTTCATCCAACGGGCGACGGATGCAGCGGCGGGGATTTTTTTTTGCTTTGCTGTAAACTATGATTGCATTCGAGCAAACCGTTCTATATCTACATCTGTGCTCTGAAGTTATTATTTTTGCTAACGACAAGTAATAACTAATAACACTTATTATTAAATTATTCTATTGGCACTAAATAGCTAAATATAATTCTACTTTCAATTACTATTTATTAACTGATTTTTCATCCGTTCATTAAAAGTAATCCATCAAATGAATTATGTATATCTATGACTAAATATAAAAGTTAAACAACTGAACTATTTTATTCATACAAGTGTAATTATTGATTTATGTTGTGTTTTAATCGTGTAGTTGGCGATGTAACAATATCAACTACGCAATATCATTACGTGAGTATTGTATGAGGCATCAGAGGGAAACTTAAACAGGAAATGGGCAGCAGCATTTTTCTGATAGCGACACAAAGTTATAAAAATTGCGGCTGCTAACCCGCCTTTTTATGAAAGAGCGGGCAAATGAGCATACGGCTCAACTGATGGTAAGTGATCACAGACGCCCATGAACATCTTCAACACATGTGCGTTGCCGGCCTTTTAGAAAGGAAAGGCTCTACTTGAAGCCCCTATGTCGTACTCGTATCGACCCGGAAAAACCTCTGGCGAAAGTAAACTCCACTGTGTGGTCGTGCGAAACAAAAAACTCCGCTTAAATCGCACGGTGGTGAACCGACGGGCATAGTGATGATGAGGATGGAATTTCGAGTTCTTTCGCAGAGTACGATGGTGAAATTCAGCACCTGGTATTAATCTGAACAATTCCTCTGAGCCCTCCCCGTGGTATAGGCGGTAGATGATGCAAAGAAATGCAAGGCTAGTGGATCATGGAAAGAACTTGGTTGTCGACGATTCGGGCCGCTCTCCGTTGAATACGTTCAATTGAAAGGCGCTAATACTGGGGTGCCCCGGCCCAGAGATGGGAACAGTATTTCATATGAGGCCGAACCTGCGCTTTGTAAAGCTGCAAGTGGTGGGCCGGTATGAAATGCCTTCTCGATCTGCAGAGCACACTAAGCTTTTTTTGAGGCCAGTATAGAATTCCTTTCTTGTGGAATGGGCGAGGCAGCAAGAGAAGTACCCTGAAATTGATGAGATACGATGAAGGGGTTCTTTTTTGCGGTAAACGCGCAATCGTGTCTTTTCTGGGTTAAACTGGACTAGATTTAGTCGCCCCCAATCTGAGACTTTTTGTTTTTATCCAACTAAAAAGCCATTATGTTTGTTCATACCAGTTACTGCTTTTGTAGTTACTTACTTGTATGTCCAAACGGAAAAGGCAATAGAATAAATATAATTCGGATTTTAATAAATAAATTTATACATGTACTTATAATAAAATTCTTTTTTAATATATTTGGCATTTTTAGGCGAAAATCTCCCAACTAGAAGATGATCTCCCCATTTCAGAAGATCCGATACCTGAAATGACGCACAATGTATATGGTTTGGATCATGCGGCGATTATGAGTAGACTTCTAGCTGCAAGAAGAAAGAGTAAGGACGCCTGGAGTAGCCTCAAGGCAGAGTGTCCAGTTATATCTTATAGGGCTCCTTTATCAAAAGAGTCGGAGGTCGACACTGGCAAGCAGAAACAAGAATTAGCTGAATTTCTATTGAAGAGACAGGTGTGTTAAGGCATCATATTATGTAGATAAATTGTTTAATAATTTATTTGACTGTGAGGAGTAAGCTTAAGGTAATGTTTCGGTAAAACTTCACCATGCTGCTAGTTTGCTTCGCCATACGCATAATATGGCAGTTCCGTACAGGCCGACACGCTGTGAGTTTGCTTCAGCATGGAACAAGCATTTGTAAGGTACATAAATAATTACGGTTTCGAGTTTGAATTTTTACCCATGTGCAATTTACGTAAGTATACCATAAAAAAAAAAATTCCACGATACAGGAAAAAAATCTAAGTTGGAGCATATAATATTATCTATAGTACAATTAGTTGGAGGTAATAAGTAAGTTTTTAGAAAAATTCGAAGCTACGTTACCTACTATTCAGAAAAATGCTCATATTTTACATTAGGTTTTATTTGCAGATCAAGCGTAAGTATCTAGTACATGATCGCGCGTATTTAGTACATGATCGAAATTACAATGTTTATTTTTGTTAATATGTTTTTTTTTATAGTATAAGGGTGTGACAAACGAGCACAGTCCACCTGATGGTAAGTGGTTGCTGCGGCCCATAGACATCTACATATATCTTTGCGAATTGAAATTCAGACCCGTTGTCAGCCGTGAGGACTAAGATAAAATGCCTCTTTTCCAGTTAACGGGGTATCCGGTTCTCTACACTCACCATAAGAAACACAGCAGCATTAAGCTGCTATTTTACGCTGGTATTCTGTGAGAGGGTGGTCTTTCCCCGGTCGAGCCGACCTATTCGTGCTTTTTTTTTATAGGATAAAGGTGACAAACGAGCACACAGTCCACCTGATGGTAAGTGGTTGCTTGCGGCCCATAAACATCTACATCTATCCTCTATTACAAATCAAAATGTAGATGCGTTGTCACCCGTGAGGAATAAGATGGAATGCCTCATTTCCAGTAAAAAGGGCCTCCGGCCACCTGCACTCACCAAGCGAAACGCAGAGGTAAACCTATACTTCACGCTGGTTTTCTGTGAGGTCGTGGTACCACCCCGGTTCGAGCCGGCCCATCCATACGACAGCAAAAGCTGCCGCGTGGCTCTACCACTGTTAATAACAGTACAACTACAGTACAACTATACTATTAATATAGCTGCAGCATGGCTCTACCACGTATAAAATAGTCACTACTTTTTTTTTACTTTCCCTGAGCATTATCAAAATTATAATTATAATGGAAAATTACAAACGGTCATTATAATTGTCACGTGGGTCAAAGTGTGTGTCATTGTTGATGTGCTCGGTGCAATTACTCGACGAAGATCTTTTCATTTGTTTTAAAAACATGACTAACACATTTTATTACGAACTTCCGAATCAGTCCGTAAGTAACCTGCAAACAATAAATAAAGCACAAAACAGCCTTCTTAACAAATTGTTTCTTTAGAAGTGAACTTATTATTTTTAAAAGTTTTTATGAGGATTCCATTTTATCTTACTTTTCGTTATCTTTTAAAATTTGCTTTTGAAAATAATTCCACCTTTTAAGCAAATTTTTTGCCTCCAATTGACAATTGCTAAATGATGTCATAATTTATTAAATGAAATTATTAGTAAAAGAATTGTCGTCATTGCTACTGCACTTGCACTTCAAAAATTTTATACGCTCCATCGAGACACCTTTTTCAAATAAGTGAAAGTCCAGTCAAAACCGGTCTTACCTCAAATTACAGTATATTTTTAGTGGTAGGTACCTTCTGAAGCAGCATAATGTTACATCGTCGACAGCGACAGCATTGCTCGAATTTTCTCGTGTTCGTATTCTGTATATCTTGTCTTGTTTTTTTTTTGCACTGTGAATTGTGATATGCGCGTGATATATTATATTAATACGATAATAGGGTTATTGCTTCCTGAATTCGATTTTCCAGCTACGTTTTATCTTGTAATAAAAGCCTTGCATTTGTCTGCACCCTACTTACGAGTATATTACAATATTTCACACAAGTGTACCTCAGATAACAAATATACTGCTGTATTTGAAATAAATTAGGATTAAAAATCAAGGTTTTAATAATTCGTTTTTTTTTTTAATAAACAACATCTAAGTACGTCGTAAATGCAGTTTTAATAAAAACTGAAATGTAAAGGCGGTAGAGAAGATTGCGTCGTCTCGCTTGTACTTGCGTCTTTAAAATCGATTATGAAAAATTACGCAAAGGTCAGTAGATGGCGGATATCTCATCTCGAATAAGCTAGACTAGAACCTTAGACTATACACGAGCATAGCTTGCTTATGCATACTCTAAAGCTAAACCTATAAGATACACGTACTTTGAGAAACAGCTAAAATTCTTGGTACTACGATCGTCAATTCGCCTGTCAAGTATTGGACTGAATGATTTCTTTTTCTTTTTATATATCTCTGTGATTTTCTGATTTTGTCGGTTGAGTTTAAAGTATTAAACGCATTCGTGTTAAGGTCATTATGTTAATTATATTGAACATTTACTAATTTTATTTTACACATGTTGTAGATCCTCCAAAACAAACTGCGCAAACAGAAACGTGACTCCCGAGAATGGGTGGAAGCTAATGAACAGTACGCCGACGATGTAAGTGACGAATACCAAGAACTTGAGGATGAACATTACGAAGATTACGACGACCCGTACTACGTACATGAAATTCAATTCCCTAACAATGGAAAACCTAATTCAAAGTGATTACGTTAGGTACCTGCATAGTTCTTCTAAAAAATAAATAGAATGTGTATTTGTATTTTAGGCCGCAGTGCTGTAAATAGATAAAAAAGTTAAATGTGTACGTACACAGTTATGTTATTGAATAAATTAACTGAAAAAAAAAATGTTGAAAGGTTTTTTTATTAAAATTATTAGAATTAACATTATTTTAAACTTGGAACATGAAATAAAATGCACAAAAGTGAAAACACTACTTTTTATTCGCGCCGCTGGGTTTTATTTTCGCATCGGTATTTGGTCATAAGTCAGCACTATCGCGAGTCGCGTGAACGCATCACAGGCAATCAATATCAGCGATTAAACTACAGTTATTATAAAAGCTTGACTATCACACAAAACCCTTGATACCTATTATGATCAGAATAAAAGTAAATTAACTCTGTCATATTTTAAGTATGTGCATTGTTCTTTGATTGCAGTAAAATGAACTCTGTTGCATTTGCATAATATGTACTTTTTGAATTAAAAAATGCGTTCAACGATGACTAATGACGCTAGTATTCGAATAAACGTCGCGGAAGTTCGCATTACAAAGGACGTTCAAAAAAAGTAATAATTCGGTACAAACTCTTTTGAATTTAAAAAGTACTTTAGTAGTTAGTAGTAATATTTTTTTTTACAAAATAAGGGTGACAAACGAGCACACAGTCCACCTGATGGTAAGTGGTTACTGCGGCCCATAAACATTACATTTATCCTCGATTACGAATCAAAATGCAGCGTTGTCACCCGTGAGGACTAAGATGGAATGCCTCGTTTTCAGTAAAAAAGTTCTCTACACTCACCATACGAAATACAGCAGTGTTAAGCTGCTATTAGACTGTGGTATTCTGTGAGAGCGTGGTCCTTTCCCGGTCGAGCCGACCCATTTGTGCTACGATTATACTACTAATATAGTTACAGCATAGCTCTACCACGTATAATATGTGTAATATTCCTTTTTCTTTCGTTTCTTTTTTTTAATATTACCCTCTCAGTAAAATTTTCTCCTTTATTGTGGAGCTGGGTTACATACATATTGCAGAAGGTCCTCACATCCATCCCGGGACAATTATTTCTATGTCATACAACATACAATCTCGCACGGAATAAGTGTTTGAACTCGCCACGCCGCAACGCTGCGGCCTAGCGCTTAGGCACCGTGCTAGAGAGCTGTCTTTTTTTTATAGGATAAGGGTGACAAACGTGCACACAGTCCACCTGATGGTAAGTGGTTGCTGTGGCCCATAGACATCTTCATCTATCTTCGATTACGAATCAAAATGCAGACGCGTTGTCACCCGTGAGGACTAAGATGAAATGCCTCGTTACCAGTAAAAAGGGTCTCCGGTTCTCTACACTCACCATACGAAACATAGCAGCGTTAAGCTGCTATTTTACGCTGGTATTCTGTGAGAGCGTGGTCCTTCCCCGGTCGAGCCGACCCATTCGTGCTACAACCATAATATAGCTGAAGCATAGCTCTACCACGTCTGTCTGAGGAAATGATAATGTTTTGTTTTTAAAAAATAGAACACATTTAGAGCGTGTTAGTGAGGATGGATAAAATTAAATAACGCGCTTGATAATAAGTATCCGTGCCCGAAAAAATTTACAATGATTTCGAAAGGTAGTGCACAACATTTGACATCATCTCCAAATCCTAAATCAGGAGAGTCCTTCTACCTGTAAGATTATTGGTTTTCTTTTTGAGATAGTCAAGGTGTAGTGTTGATGGGGCTATAGTTACTGTTACATCTTGTATGCAGAATAAATTACGCAACGAAATCCGCCAGAAACGATGAGGAAAACTCGCAATGATTGTTTTGTTTAAACAAAATACCGCCAGGCTCCCAAGGTCGTTGTTGCGATGCTGCAATTCCAGATGGTTTAAAATACTTGAGCATTCTCCATATTCACCAGACCTTGCACATATTGGTTCCTATCTGTTTCCGAGATTTTGAGAGGACAAACGATTTGAAGGATGATGAAGCAGTAGTCGCTACAGTATAGAAATTTTGTGCTCAGGATGGAGAGTTCTTTTGGAAGGAAGTTGTAAGTATACAAAAGGCTTTCCATGTGTATTACTCATAGAGGTAACTATTTGAAAAAATGAAATAACAATTATTAAAAGTTACCTGTAGCGTACCTACTCGCTCTCACTTTTTATTGAACATAGGGGATGTTCATATTCTGGTGTAAAAGCATCACTCATTGTTTTTACATGCCTAAGATAATTTACGATTGCAAGGAAAACATAACGATGCCTGCTTTTTATAAGGTCATGTTGATAGCCAGCTTTATTGTTAAGAGTATCGCGTAAACAATGCTATAGTTAATAACGTTATCAACAATAACAAAGGACATTCTCAATGCATAATAAAAGCATCGTTTTGTTTATTTAAAACTGCAAGCTCATAAATTTTAAATGGAAACTACCTAGGGCTTTGTTTGTGTTTAAAGGATTTGGAAGTAGTTATTTCATACATAATTTTAAACTGAAAACCCAATTAGCGTGATATGTGTAAATGCGATTATGAATGTTTAACCACAGTATCGATTTCTTCTACTTAATTCTGTAACGATCGATATTGTTGCCAAGTCACGTTCGCTATAACTAAGCACTTGCGATTTCGGGAGTCTAGTTTTCTAAGAGTAGCATATTATAGCTTGTTTAGGCTTTATGTCGGCACGACGTAATAAAGTTAATCCAGGTCCTGTGTAGAGTAATATCACGCGGGGTGGGGGCGAGGAGAACCGGCCGGCGCGGCGCGGCGGCCACCTGTTCGCCGCGCGGTGGCGCGCGTGAGCCCCCCTCATGCCCGCTGCCTCCACAACCCCCCTCCCTCCTCCCCCCTCCCATCCGGCCCCCAGCCGGCACCCTCACTGCGCGCGCTTCGCCCTTCCCTCCACTCATTCGTTCCGCGACGCGTTGTCTCGCCGGCCGGCTTCCGCCATACTACACTAACTTACCCGGGCTCATTCTCAGCGCGTCCGTTAACCGCATCACTCATATCAACCCTTAATTTACCAGACATGACGGAAGGCACAGAAACTACATCGGCCCCAGCGCCAGAGAAGACTCCCACTGAAAATGGAACTACTGAAACTCCTCCTGAGGAGACACCAGAAAAGGCCACAGAAGAGAAAGAAAAAGAGAGCCCACCGCCCAAGGAGATGCGTGCTGTCGTTCTTACTGGTTTCGGTGGACTCAAAACTGTTAAGATTCTTAAAAAACCCGAGCCAGCGGTGGGCGAAGGCGAGGTCCTTATCCGCGTTAAAGCCTGGTAAGTTATTATTAAGTGTTTACTAACTTATTCCGTCTTCTCATTTAATTGTTCGTAATTTGTATTTTATTATATTTTAAATATTTTTATTGAACCCATTTATCAAAATATCATCAATTATCCAATTATTAATAAAAATCAGTCGCCCGAAAAAGCGGGTAGAAGAACAACGGTAGGTATTGATTTTTTGGCACCGCCCTAAAGTGCGCCCGATTGTGCGCACAATAATATTTTGGCAACTTAAATCTTATTAATTGATCTACGTGCATTGAACGAAGATCTTTTGTATCGTAATTTCACGGACACTGGTTTGCACCTACTTACCTAGTGCCACGGCTCACGGTCGAGTCCCGTTTGCTTCGTGTATCGTCTGCCTCATTAACATCTGCCGTAACGCGTCGTGTTGCATTACTCCTGAAACGGTTGACTCTACATGCATTTGATGCTCGACATAAGCTCGTCCAAAAAATTTCAGCAAGGATTTCATTTCTCTCATTGCCTAAGCTTTAATAATTTGTTTAAAATATAGACAAAGAAAAATATACCTGATGTGTGATAGCAAGATGTTTAAAGTTTGTACAAGAATTAGATACTTTAAATACAAGAAATTGTTATATTGTTAATCGAAGCTGTAATGAAAGTCAAGTTCGTGCGAAAGGGAATCGAGCGTCGCAAGATATTGTTCTTTGTTCTTTTTATCGCTCCAGTGCTTCAGATAATGCGACAATGTGGCCGTGCCGCCAGTCTTCTTATGTCTACATATATGAGTTATCTGCCACTTTTCACGTTTATATTTACCGAGATCGTTTACAAGCTAAATAAAGTGCCCACTTCACTGGAACGATAACTTCGTGATTCTGATTGACGATACATAATTCTATTAAAGAGGATAAGCCATTTTAAGTGTTTTTATTTTATCGGTCGATTCGGGTTGTACAATGGGAGGTGGGATGAAAACGAAACGGGTTCGAAAGCACGGGTGACCGTTGGGAGGAGTGGAAGCTGTGCGTAGGTGTGAACCGTGAGGTACCAGGCGAGCACGGAGCGCATCCCCGCTCGTGCTAAATTTAGCTCGCTTATCGCCAACTTACTATGTAAATGACCGCGACATACTCGACACCAGCTGCCGCGCAAAATATGAACAAGCTAGTTACGTCTCGGCCAGTTTCTTCTGTTTTTATGCTTGCACATTTCTTAATACAAAACTAGTAGTCTGATAATTGGTACCTATTAGATTTATTGGGACAAAATATAAATGTACTAAATCTAATTGAAATCTGTTAAAGGTTTGAAGTTCATTATTAATTCTAAAACTAAAAGTAGTCTATCTTTAATAGACTCAACGGAAATTAAATAACTGTTGTGTAACTTAATTATTACGTAGAACGTTTAAAATAAACGTTAGTCTAGCGTACGCGCTATGCCGTCTGGTGACCATGACTTTCACAAACTTATCACGCTTATTCTAACAAAGATAGTGTTTAAGTTATAATGAAAGTCAGTAAACGGTCGATGCGTTACACAGACGAAAATAGAATTAACGTAAACATGAAGAAATATCTAAACAATCGTCCATTCTTTTAGTTGGATATTAAACGTACAAGGGCTTCTTGTTTAATAGTGCTATTAAGTTAATGATATGTAACAGAATATAAAATAAAATTGAACCTATTATGTAGCGATCTCGATGCACGGTATGCTGCCCTACCGAAGCCCTTTTTAATATATTTTTTTGTAGAAGTTTCCGAAGTGATCATCCCGATGAATAAAGCTCTATTATACCCAATTAGGTCAAGTCTGTGTCAGCATACTTCTTCCGAGTACAATCGTGTTACACACGCACTTGTGTTCGAAAGTTTTCTTGCACGCAGAGAGTTAATTGAACGAAAAGATATGAAATGTAATTTAGAAGATTCTATATTTGATTTTGGTCCAACATTATCGTAATTGTAGCACCATTTCATAACTTGATTAAAATATAGGGTTGTTTCTATTGTTTGCTTGCTAGGCGTGATAATAAAAAAATTGGAATAAAACGTGAGCTACAATCGAGACGTATTATTACTACAGCCACAGAATTAATAATAGTACTACGCTATAGCACCAGGATTTTAGAATAATCAAAACATTTTAAAAAACTATAGGATAGATATAAATAGACACTATTATTGATACGAATGACATATTGTTTCGATTAATTTCTATTAAATATGGTAGATAGTTTGAAACCTTAATGCGGATGCTCTTTAGCGGTATTCTTTTCCCAAACACTAAAGTATATTTAGGCAAAAAGTCTTAGACCGTCGTAAGCAAGCAAAATGAAAATTACCATATAAATAATTGGTGAAGTCCGTCCAAATTTGTATCATATGATAGGTAGTGACAAACTTAGTTGCAATCGAAAGTGCATGTTAATTACTAACATCCTTTTCTTTGTTAGTGTATCAATTTAGATGCTTAAAATAGCATCTGCCCCTCTGGAACCGGGGCCTGCCTCAACGGTATAAAGTGCAGTATTGTGCTTTTTAACGGGCTACGAAGCCACATATAAGATGGGAGAGATGAATTTGTTTATTACCCTCTTCCTTATTGAGAGCGTCTGCGCGAGATAGCTCTCTTCCTATGACTCACTAGAAAGTTATGTTCTTTAAGCTAACTCGATTGGAATAACTCGCCTGTACCTGGACACTAAGTTGAGTGGGTGAACTAGAATCAGCATTTTGAATTTACCTTACTGGTTATATCGTAAAGATTTATGTTTGGTTCTGTTCCTTGTTAAAAGTGTTTAATCCGCAAGAAATGCTGTTATAGCTGTAATTACAGGTTAAGATAATAAACTAAATAAAAATCTTTTAACGATCTAAAAAAACCTTCCGGCATATTTTTCTTATGAAAATTGATTGACGAGTAACGGATATTGATAAATGATTGATAATAAATTGTTAATTGTAGCATCCACACAATAATATGTAGAATTCGTTTCATGCACGCTTATAATAAACCCGTATATCAATTCGGATAGGGGTTTATTATCTGATTAAATTAAAATCAGGAACAGCAATACTCTCTTTTTTAATGTCTGCTTAATAGACATTAAAAAAGAGAACATAGACTTAGAATCATGAAGCAAACATAGAATATACTGGCTTATACATTATGTATAATATGCTAGAGTGTGTCAACTAATGCTTGTATATATTTTTGGAATATTAAATTTAACTGAAGTATTGATTGATTCGATTTTTTAATACGTTAACCATTTGGTAACACACATTTTACCAATTTTATTGCATTTAACTTTGTATTTTTTTTTTATAGAATAAGGGTGAAACGAGCACACAGTCCACCTGATAGTAAGTGGTTACTGTGGCCCATAGACATCTACATCTATCTTCGTTTGCGAAATAAAATGCAGATGCGTAATCAGCCGTGAGGACTAAGATAGAATACCTCTTTTCCAGTAAAAAGGGTTTGCGGTTCTCTACACTCACCATACGAAACACAGCAGTGTTAAGCTGCTATTTTACGCTGGTATTCTGTGAGAGCGTGGTCCTTCCCAGGTCAAGCCGACCCATTCGTGCTACAACTATTCTATTAATATAGCTGCAGCATGACTCTACCACGTAAAAAAACTTTTTGAGTAGTGTGACGTTTCGAGTGCATTGCCGACCCCTGATTGGCGAGACGCGGAGGAGCTCAGTTTTATACAATTCTTAGTATTCGCGTCAATATATAAAATCATTATTGATATCCCTTGCACAAACTGGTCGTAGGTAGGTACTGGCATCGAGCACTAAATTTATCACGTGTCACTTTCCTAGTTTCTGTCTATCTAAGTGTGTGTACACTTGTGTTTTGTCCATCAATCATTTTCCGAGGCGTCTACTAAGCGCGTTTATGTTAAGTAAGCATATCAGTAACTCTGCTTACTGCTTTTGTTACGACATGATTTAGAACAATAGTTTTGACTATGTACGATGCGTCACAGACACATTCTTGTAACATACGTATTATGTACTCTGATGGTGAGTCACTTTTAAATTAGGTTATTTGATTGGTTTGCATAAATGCAATGTAAAAATTTAGTATTTTTTTTTAAAGAAAGGAGTCATTTTTTTATAATTCGTAGTTAGTACCAATAGTAGAAAGTAAAAATACTTATTAATTTGTTGTTTCATAAGATATAAGTCAAAAAAATCTTGGGGTCGTTCGAAGAATTTTAGGTTTTTCAATACTTTTGTGCGTAGTAGGTAATCCGAAAACGCCCGTTATAGAGATTGTTTAGCTATAAAGAGATTTTAATATATTTACTATTACTTATGCCTCTGTTTAGCTTACTGTAGAGTTTGTGTGGTAGATTGCCGTTCAGGATTATTTTCTTCATTTAAATATGTTTTTAAGGTCAGACGGAAGTAGTGCTTTTCAGGACATGTGGCTTGTCACATAAAATGAAATCCCTGGTCGTGCAACAGATGTGGCAGTCGGGATCGCGTCGGCTCAACTTACCCGCAGTCACATTGTTCGCGGGGTCAATAACCTTACCAAAATGCTGCGTCGCTTATTCTGCCCATAATTGAATCGTCTTGCTCCTATATATGGCCGTAAACTCCTTGCGTTCTTTCGATCGCTTTTCGACAAATGCGAAGCACTTGACATATTATAACAAATCACCGAGCTGTATGCCCAAATACTCGAACGCTGCGCAATTTTAAGATGCCGTTAAATCTCGTGCCGTCTCTATCACACTGTGACACCACGGGACTTAATGACATCTATAAATTGAGCCGAGTTTGAGTATTTGGCCAGTGAAAGCAGTTCCGACGCTCGAAATTTCGATACCCTTTTCTTCCGAAGTTTAGACCCTGATTGATCAGTTTTAAATATGCTGTCTGTTCCTACATTCATGTAGGACCTAAGGTTTCTAGGATATATGTACGTTTGGTTATTTTTATATGTCTGGTAAATTATATTGGAAAATCCCATGACTCGTTCGCATGAAA